GCTTCCGGCAATGGTGCTGGCAAAAACACAATTACAAGGCTCGCGAGGGGCGCGCGAGTGTGGTGCATTCCCAAATTAGACACACGATCGCCAATTTCAGCCGCCAAATAGCGGGAACTGACGTTGCATGGATCAGAGGCTCTGCTCCTATGCCCAAATTGGCGTGGAAGGACAATTTTTCGGAATTCACCTCCGGGGGCCTCGCTGTCTAGACTCACGTCCATCACCGGAGGGTCGGAGGGGCCTTTTGGGAGCCTTGGCGAGCGGATTTGGTATTCCGAGAGGCCGGGCGAGTCTTCCACGTCGCGCTGAGCGACACGAGCATGACAGAAAGGAGGTTAGATGGCATATTGTACTTGGAGCAGAGGCATATGGTAATTCTCACCCATTTGACATCAAGATCAATAAAAGAGTGTATACGAAGCAGTGAGAAACGCCCACTTTTTATTGTCACCGGAGAGCTAACTAATTCGAGATGTCTACAATGTGATAGTGAATGTAGACTATTATACCGTAATTTTTCATGTTCCTGCTCAACATATTCCAGCATAACAAATTGACAGTTTGATCAGTGAAGCGAGATTAGATGTTATTGTCTTTTCCATTTCACTAATTTGTGAAAATTTATCGGCAATTTGGCCTTATCTGTGTTTTGATAATCAATTAGTGTGATCGTCTTTCTCTCATTTCAGTTGATAACAACATTTCGTCACTCCTCTGCTCTTCTTTCGCGGGCTCAACGGACTACAGAACATCTCCAATTGAGCCATGAAGAAGGTCAACATCTTGCCATTGGATCTACAATTCCAATTGGCACAAGCGAAAAATGTTGTGTTACTTAGGGAAAACAATAATTCAATTTGCTCCATTAATTACAGTCTCTTTCTGCGATTGTCGGACGCACGGCGTGCGTTTTTCGAGGCTCTCACGTAATAAGCAGTTTCCTCGCATGAAAGATCCTCTCGCTAAATGTCCAGAGGGACTTTATTGGACAGAATGAAATATACAATCGCAGGAGCTCCCAATCTTCGTATTGGCACAGAGTTGAAGACGCGCGAGAGAGCTCAACGCGATCGTGCATATGCACAGCATTGATCAGTGAAAGATCCTCGGCGCGATCTACGCGAGGATCAACTCTGAATCAAGGGTGGGCGAAAAGGGAAGACGAAAGTGAGTGTGGAAAGGCGATTTTTCGGTGCCACGAGCGCTTTATTCAGTTAGTAGTTGGAAAAATTTATATTTGTCGTTAATTTAATTACACATTGCGCAGAAAAGTGGGGATATATTTGTATTTGCAGACGATCATAGCCAATTTATCATCAATTTAGTTACCTTCAGCATGCCAATGGTAATTACATATCTGCAGTGAAATGGGGCGAAACGTACCCTCGATCGGGGTGATTTATTTATTTGTTTCTGCGATCGTCGATTGGCCGCGATCGATTGCGATCGTGGAAAAAATCGGGCCCTTTTTGCGCCGCGCAAACACAAGAAATTTATAACGTTATAAACAATTTGCTCATCGCCGAGGTAATTCAGGCTTTTTGCGCGCGCCTTCGTGCAGGCTCTCTTCCTTCGTCATTTATGAATTTGATCTAAGCCGGGAAACGCCATATGAAGATAATATAATGGAGACATAATCGCAGAGCGGAATGAGACATTTTTCATGTGCGCAGGCCAACACAGAGAGGATAAGAAGAAGAAACACGGCTAGCGGCAATTCTTGCCGTGATTCTTCGCAGAGTCTTTGAGGTCCTCTAAAAGTGATCATTTAAATTCCATAAAATTCACATTTCTTCACCCAGCGATTTTGTCTCTTATGAGCTTCTCTGAAAAATTCATGACCAACCACCAATTTGAGGTGGATAAGAAAAATTCTAAGCATAATGAAATGTGCCTCTGTAATGAGAGAACAGATCCCAAAAAAGAAAGAACAAAATCTGAGAAGTCTTGCACAATTTTCCACTCGAGCTTCTTGCGCGGGTCATTGTATTGAGTTTTTCGCACTAAATAATTTATTGCGTTCTACAGGAGTGAATTTAACAGTGCCTGAGAATCTGACAGTGCATATGAAGGCAATTATAGGAGGTGAAAGAAACTGAGCAAAACAGTTTAGGCGATAATTCTAAGGTGAAATCCGGGCCCGTAAAGTGTTTGTCAGGAATTTTTCCAGTGAATAGTAATGCAATTTTTGGGTGTTTTTGTCTGTGAAATAAATACTGAAAAAATTAATATTCTGTTAGAAATTCACGCGGAGTAGCGCCAAGTGGCCGAAAGGCTTATAAATAATGCTAATATGCCACCGAATTATCCATGTTCCAGCAACTCTGAGCATCTCTTGTGGGTGAAAATGAAATAGTATCCATGTGGAAAAAATTTATAGCACTTTTTCGGATATTTATACCTCTATTTATTTGATATTAATCACAATTACCGTGAAAACCGAAATGTGGCATTCACGGAGTGGCGATTAGGAGGAAGCGTGGCCACATTCATCACGCAATTTCGGCCATGAAGCTAGGCGTTTGCTGATTAAACCGTCAGCGGGATTTTCGGAGTTTGAGCGAGAAATGTCCTTAAGAAGCTGGAGAGTTTGAAGAAATCTGTGAACGGAAGAAAGCAGAGTATTATTGCTATTGGAAACCAATTTAAGAAGCACTTGAGGAACAACTCAGACTGTCGCTCATCATTTGTGTTATTGAAAATACAAAAAACTGTGCTGCAATGGGTTAATTTCGCCTCGCTTCCCCTGCATTTCAAATTCCCGCGAGCGGCTGCTCATCGACTGCGAGGGGTGAACTTCCCCTCGCGATGAAAGCTCACACGCTCGAGGGGTAACTTTGGTGTGACGGCATCGCCTCTCGCGGAAAGCGATGGAAAAGTCCGTTGCGTTCGTCTCAAATTTCTAAACGTGCGAGTGATCAATTGTAAATTCACTAATTAATTTGCACGATGATTTATTGCGCACTTTAAGCCCGCTCACACATCAAATTGAAAGTTTTCTCGCGAATTTTCCCATCGTCCGAACCAGTCCGCCGGACAGAGTGGTCTTGGCGATGCCCGTTTTGGGATGCCCGCGGGAATGCTGAAGATGCCAGCGCCATATAATCGCTCGAAGGTATTCCAGTTGGAAAAAAGTCCCATTTAACCTTATCGGAAGTCGCGCTGGCATTTTCAGTGAGTGTCTTTTTTTTCTCTGCGCTCGCACCAAAATTGGGTCACACAGTGGCTTTTATAGAGAATTTTCCTGTGCAAATTAGTATGCACCCTTCTCCAGTGGCGTCATCCCGGAGAGCACTTTGCATAATTCTGACGCACACGAGACAGATAGTTCCAGGGATGATCCGCGCGCACCGCCATTATCACAACAATACAGTTAGAATTGCGTAAGGTGAGTTTTTGGGAAGACGCGCGCGAGCTCGTTAATTATTAATCAGATGCAAATGCAAGTCAAAATTCCGGGACTGCGCGCCTTCTGTTGTGATCCATTTGCATCGCACCCAGTCCAGGGATTGGAAAAGAAGTGCTCCATGGGTCATGATCGCCTTCGTGTCGCTGCGAAATAACCGCCCGTCGAGTGCTCAGGAAGTGTTTGGGCAATTGAATTGAGGTATTTCCATGGAGATTGTGTCAAAATTCACCATTTCCCGCCGTTTTTAATTAATCTAAATGTACTTTTCGCACGATTTGTGTGGACATTCTCAGCATATTTGTGGCGTCGTGAGAACATCACCCAGAGTGGCGATTTCATCGGAATATAATTGCTCCAAATTTGTGGCCTCACCCGCCCCTCAGCGAAAAATTCTATCGAACCAAACTCACACGCTAATTGCAGTGCTTGATGGGCAATTATCGAATTAAAGGTTGGAGAGATCTCTGTGTGCGGTGTGAATTGGAAATTGAGAGTGAAAGAGACCGATCGCGATTAACATATCAATGCATGTGAATTGCGGGAAGTTGGCGCGATCGTCAGGGAGGCATAAAATCGCATGCAGATGACGCTAGCGAGTGATAGATGAATTTTTGCGGTGTTTGTGTATTTATTTTTTGCATGTGGCGCCCCCGCAAATTGCATCTTGGGCAAATTGAATGGATTTGATACGCGCAAACTTGCGTTACTTCAATTTACTCGATTAATTGCGATGCTGATTAATTAGCAGTAACATGAATATTGTGAGTGTGTGTTGTGTCAATTTAATTGCATTATTCTACAATAATATTGTTATTATTATCTAGACACGGAGAATGAATGGTGGGTATAATTAGTGGATGGCGAGAGAAGAAAAAAATGAGTAATAAATACTCAGTTAATTGATGCATTCAATTGGCAAAAGCCGACGGCGCACGTCATGAACAAAAGGGTTAAGGTTTTCCTCCACTTTTTTTTTCTTCTCTATTCCTTTCTTTTGGGGCTTTGTTCAATTTGCCTACGCGCGTCTCTCATTGCCCATTCTCGCGGCGGGAATTTTCCCATTTCCGCGCGGACATTTTCACGCCGGGCGAGCTCGCGGGCAACCATGCAAATACCTGGAAGGCTATGACACAGGAAGTGTGTCAGGAGCTATGCTGCCAACCGCCGACGAAGTGCTACTGCGGAGTGACGAGCCTCAATGGTGTCCTGCCGGGCTGAGCGCATGCTCGCTCACGAGGGAGCTTTGGCGGAGAGTGAGAGACTGAACGGCTGGCAGTTCACCCTCCACGAATACCCCACACACCTGACTCTCCACTTATCACTAGCGAACTGATAAGTTGGTGTCTCGCTGGGCGGGGCTATCGATGGCTATGGGACGATTCTCCGTGACGTCATAAAAGCTGCGTGCGCCATTGAACCGCCAATCACACATTGGAGTGCGGCAGTGCGGCCGCGAGAGCGGGACGGACTGCGTGCGCGCTGTGCGACAGGGAGGGTGTGAGTGGTGCAGCACGATGGTGCCAGAATCGCTGGCACAGCCAACAGCGAAAACCGAACACTAGTCGACGGTCGTTAGTTGACTTCGAAAGTTCGGAGCGTTTGCACGTATCATCGTGAGAGTCGTACGTTCGATTTTTGTACCTCCAAACCAAACATTCCATCACTTTTTATTCCCAAAGTGTGACACACTGAGTGAAGTTTGGCAAATCCAGCATCAACTGTGGACCACACAAGTCCAGCAAAAACTGATATAACTAAACATTCCCCTGATCTCCGCGAATCGGTCAATCGAATGTGACATACCATGCTTGACGGTTTAATGTAGACAAGCGATAAAGTTACTGTGTACTGTGCAAATATCCGTAGAGTCACTGAGATTCTACCCGATGGAGGTTCTAAAGTGATGTTGTGCTTAGTTCCTAGTTAACAAAATTGAGAGATACCCACAATAGCTAGTAGCGGGCGAGAGTATTTGTGAAAGACAAATCTCTGCAGGGAAAAAGGATAGATACTCATCGAGGGATTGCCTCTGCAGCCAGCAAAACCCAAAGATAGCCTCACAACGTATTGATATAGCAAAAGGAGAGAGAAAAAAAAGTGGAACCGAAGCACTTGTCATGGGTTCCCACTAATTGACATTTTGATTTCAACGCACTCTGACCCGAAGAGATCAATTTTCAATTGGAAAAAGAAACGGTTGCATCGGTGCCACGGCGTAGAGGACTTTCTGTTTGTTTCAATAAGTTGTGATTGTGTGTGTTTTGGGACACATTACATTTCGTTCTTTTTTCCAACAATGATTAACTCTTTTCACATTTCGTGCTATCGCAAGGAGGAAATGTGAACTCATTTGAATTTGTAATGAATTAAGCAAATTTGCATCAGCACACACACACATACGTACACGCGCTGGTTCGGGTTTAAGCGTATACCTGCAACGGGTGTGTTCATGACAAGGAGTTGATCAGGAGACCGGAACATGCCAAGGTATTCCTGCACCCTTTCGCTGTGACTGGACCAACCGTGCTCAACGACCGGTGATCGGGTTTCGTGAGAACAATAGTGAGGGCAACAAAGGGACACTGACACAGGAATTGACTGGGCAGAATTTGCCAGTGTTTCTGATTGGCTGATCGTGATCCCTGGTGTGTTGTTCAGTGCGGTGAACAGTTGCTATGACATAGACGGTGTTCGGACTCAGAAGTGTGACAATCAGAAACCTGAGCCCCATCTTGGAGCCCTACCCCGCCAGCGTGGAGGGGCTAAACAGCCCTAGAGCGGTGGGGATGGCCGCCGCCACGTACATGACAACGTCAGCCGGCGATTTGGACATGGCTCTCGGGGGTGGCTATCACACGTCCTCGCCGCGAAGCGCCACGGACGCTGGCGAGATGAAGTACATGCAACACCACCACCATCATCATCATCAGGTGCCGTCCAGTCCCAGTCCCAACACGGGCGGTCTGGGAGCTGTGACGACGGGTCTGGGCGGGGTGGGTGGCAATCCCTGGGCCGCTCTGCATCCCAGCGATCCCTGGGCTCTGCAGTCCCACCACTCGCACCACCATCCGGCCGACGTGAAGCAGGAGATGCACTTGTCCCAGCAGTCGCGGGCACAGCAGGGCATGGCCTCACCTCACGCCTGGCATGCCCCCGTGCACGCGTCGGCCCATTACGCCCCGACGGGCGGCTCACCCCTGCAGTACCACCACGCCGCGATGAACGGCATGCTCCACCATCCGGCCCATCCGCACCATCAGGGCAGTGCCCCACTCCACCACGCCCTGCGCGGCGGCGACTCACCCCAACTGCACCTGCACCCTCATCATCTCCAGGGCGATCGCGACGTGAGCGCCGGCGAGGAGGACACCCCCACGTCGGACGACCTGGAGGCGTTCGCGAAGCAATTCAAGCAGAGACGGATAAAGCTGGGCTTCACGCAGGCGGACGTCGGACTCGCCCTGGGGACCCTCTATGGCAATGTGTTCTCGCAGACAACGATATGTCGCTTCGAGGCGCTGCAGCTGAGCTTCAAGAACATGTGCAAGCTGAAGCCCCTGCTGCAGAAGTGGCTGGAGGAGGCGGACTCCACCACGGGCTCGCCGACGAGTATCGATAAGATTGCGGCGCAGGGGCGGAAGCGGAAAAAGCGGACGAGCATCGAAGTGTCGGTGAAGGGGGCACTGGAGCAGCACTTCCACAAGCAACCCAAGCCGTCGGCGCAGGAGATCAGCAGCCTGGCGGACTCGCTGCAGCTGGAGAAGGAAGTGGTGCGGGTATGGTTCTGCAATAGGAGGCAAAAGGAGAAGCGAATGACGCCTCCCAATACGTTAGGGAATGAAATGATGGATGGCATGCCGCCGGGACACATGCACGGGGGCCACGGGGGCTACCATCCGCACCACGATGTCCATGGGAGCCCCATGGGCACGCACAGTCATAGCCACAGCCCACCGATGCTCAGTCCGCAGAATATGCAGAACGCCGGCGGTCACCAGTTAGCGGCTCACTAGCAATCCGAGAACCAGGAGTCCACTCCAGGCGACTCGCCACCGTCAACTGTGGCCGCTTCGGCGACATCTCCAACTCCGCCGCCGGCCTCCTCGATCGGGCCCCCGGCGCCACAGATGACGTTCAGTACCTCGCGCCAGCAGATGGCCAACGCTGCCGTGGCGGCAATGTACATAGATCACAGGTATCCGCCGTCGGCCGCAGCGCCCCCACCACCCCCGCCATCTCATCTGTCCGGCCAGCAGCCGCCGCTGCACCACCAGCTCATGATGCCGCCCCAGTCGACCAGCACGTCGCCCACGGCGGCCCACCTCATGGTCAACCATCAGCAGCAACTGCTGCACGCCGCCGCGGCCGCGGCCGCGGAGGGTGGCCAGCAGCAGCAGCAGAGCCAGCAGCAACAGTACCACGCGAGACGCCTATTCCAGGAGTGGACCCTGCAATTCGGCACCGCCGCAGCCGCCGCGAGCGCTGCGAACGGTGTCCACCATCGTCACTTCACCAACTTCAGCAACTCGGGTGAATAATCGATGGTCCAGTAGGTGCAATTGTGCCCCCCAAGATGCACACACCCCCCCCAGTGACTCTCTTGAGAGATCGTGGTGAAAAATTAGCTAAAAGTGGTAGTTTTAGGAGTCTAGACGTAGAAAGATGAAAGAAAAAAAACACAGTGAATGAGTGAAGGCAGCACTCTTCTCTTCAGTGCCGGTGGGCACGAGGGTGAGGACGATCTATGAAATTGATTAATAAGACTATGAACCAAATAAAACAAATATTTGAATTGATACAAAAAAGAAACAAGTAAAAAACGCGCCGCCAGGTGTTTAGTACAAGTGATATACATTAAAAATACACTATAATTAAATGATGATGAAAAAATGAAATACTTTAAATAAGTACATAACATAATATATTATTAATTATTGTGCGAATGTTCTGTATATTTCAAAAAAAGTAATCTCTCCTTCACACATTCACAAATCCCCACAAATAGAAGCAAAAGAAGAGAAGAAAAAATGTACGAGATGTCTTACAGAAGAAAAAAATGCACACACCACACATGAAATGGTGTTTGGCGAATAGCAACAAATTAATTCGTTCCAATTTATTGACGACTTGCGATTTCAATGTGAGTATCTTCTCAAATGAAAAATTTATCTTGACTTTAGTGTTGAGCGCAGATGCGAGAAAAAACTTATCCTCCATGTGCATTTTATTTCATTGACACGCATTCCCAAAGCTCCGAGCTATGAAAAGCGCGCTGGCTCTCGAATCCTTTCCTTTTTGCATTGCTCAAGTTGTGCGTAACACGCGTCAGAGATGGATTTTAAACGCTGAATGCGGTGGGGGGCAAAGGGGAGGCAAGTGCAGATTGATTTTCACGAGGAGGAAAACATATATAGCAATTTTATGGATTTTTTGCTCAACCCGCTGCATGTTTGATTCTGCGCTGTGGTTGATGTTGTTTTTTTCATCCCCAGCATATAAGCAAATATTGTGACGTGAAAAATGACAAACGATCAAAAATGAGAGTGAAAATTGGCTTAGAATTCCGTCTTGCAACACTCACGCTGAATTATCCACTTTGACAGGGTTTTGTTCGGTCGCGCGGCGCGCACAAAATTTGTATGGCATTATTGAAGTGATCTCATTTTGAGTGGATGAAAAAGTGGTGTCTATACTCGATAACTTCACAGTCTTGTCAGGTTTTTATTTCACTGTAAATACCACGGATCTAATTAGAGTAATAGAGGCAGACATGAAACTTGTCAGTGAGTAGCGCCAGAATTGACAAAAAACGTCAAAACATCGTTAATAATTTAAGGAAGAAGCAAGAAATTATGCAAATTCACAGCCGAGACTGTTGGCTCACGAGAGATATGAATTTTTATGTCCACGGAAGACTCCGCAGGGCAGAAATTGCTGTGTATCTTTCACTCTTAGACAGTTGGCATTTTGCAAAGAGAGATGTGCATACAGTTTTTTGGTGGCAAAAGTTCTGTTTAACAAGTCGATCGATTTCTTTCTCCTTCGTCCCAGTAACAAATTCACAGAAATCTTATGTAGTGTGTAGGTGGCACTCAAGTAGAATCTCAAGACCAGTAAAATGCTGTTTAATTTCCACCATAAATATCATTTCACCAGACATGAGAGCAAGTGCGAAGATGCAAATTGTGAGAAAGATGAGAGGGAACGTACAGTAATTGTTAATATGTCATATTGACAGCAGAAATTTCGTCTGGGCTCTGCAGTAAAATGTATAAAGAGATGATGGAAAAAAATAGTGAGTGAATAAAAAGTGAGGAGTTAAAAAAAAACGACATAAGTAAACCAAAGACACAGCAATTAATCAATATTATCTATCAATAAATAAATAAATATTAATATTTTATTTTTTTCATGTTGAATTTGTCACCTACTCAACTGCAAATAGCCAGTTTTACGTAACTACCTTTTTCTTCTATTTTGACCCCCTCCCGAACCGCCCGCAATGTATAAAATACAATTTTGATGGTAGAGGCGTGAAGAGAATTGTGTATAGAAAGAACGCGATGAATACACAGAATGAAAATCCACAAGAGTGTGTAATAGCAAAGATGGAGGAAAAAAACCAACAAATTTTTCGTATAAATAGAAAATAAATTGAATGATAGAGTGGAAGATGAAATAAATCTGTAAATACTGTAGAGGCAAAAAAATCTATAAATACACTTACATATAGATGATAAAATTAGTGATCCAATATTTGATTTAAAATGTGCATATACGAGAAAAATGCAGAAAATAATCATAGAGGAAAGGATGAGAATTCAGAGACAAGAGGAGAGAGTGAATAAGTGGAGGAAGCAAATAAGTTTTTTACCTAATTTTAATCAAAAAAAGAAAAGGAACATGACGATGAAAAGACACAATTCTGGATTCCAGGCGCGAAGAACAGAACTTTTGACAAAAATTTCTTTTATATATTTTTTATTTTATTATTATTTTTTTCTATTGAGAAATTATTCTTGTTGTAATACGAGGTACAATAAATATGCGATGATGATGGATATAGAAAAAAAGAATGAGGAGAGAAGATGAATGAGAAAAAAATTCTTGTATAATTCTTATATATTTAAAATGAAAAAGTGAAGGAGTAAAAAAAAGGAGAATGACGAGGAGTGTGGCGATGATGCAAAAAGAAATTCCACTTTAAAACACATGAAAATTACAATTATTATTATTACTTAATTATTAATTATTATTATGGTACGATGTAAATGGATTTAGTCGATTTTCGATTTAATAAAAGAGGAGAAAAAATCAATTTTATTAAAAATATTTATGATGAAGATCACTTCTTTTCATTTTTTTTTCACTGGCGCGCCTCCTCAGAAGTTGCGCGCCTTTCTTCGTTGAGGTCAAAACAAGAGAAGAAATCGAAATGAGAGGATCTTTTTCGGTGCATCGCGATTTCGCCGCAGGGAAATTGCGTCTGACGTCCGGACAGACGGACATTCCTTCTTGCCACAGTTGCGAAACTCAATTTTTTGGGTTAATCGCGTCCAAAACACTCAATCGCACCTCTGGAAGAGGTTTATCAGAGGGCTTCGCGGGGTGTTTTGTCAGCAATTGATTGTCTGGCTGAGGGACAAATGTTGTGAGGAGAGTTTGCCGGATCAATTACACATTTCTCGAATGATTTCGTGATGAATTGGGGGGTTATTTTGAGGTTGGAAAACCCCTTGGCAGTCCCTTAAGCGATGAGTGCAAGAATTGCTTCAATTCCTACAATAATTTAGTGGCTCGCGCTGGCATTTCAGAAGTATCCAAAGTGCCATTCCACACAATGCTCTCGAGTGGCTCCTCAAAACCCCTTCGCGATTGATTTCTCTCGCATTCTCTGGCGAAAACACTCCCTGGCCAGACACCTTAACTGACGAGGCCTCGTCACAAGTTGGATACGTTTCCAATATTAATATCTGTGCAGACCATTTGTATTAGAGCGCAATTATGCCTCAATACACTCTTCCGATACGTGAGCGGGTTGGAAAATGAGTTCTAATTGTGCAGCAAGCGAAAATGACGCGCCCTGTATTATTTGAATACCTTCCATTAAGCCAGCCAAAACACTGGACAAAGAAGAGACTTCTTCGCCTGTGTCTTCCTATTTGCTGTGCGGTGATAAAAGTTAAATTGCATTGCTGAACTCAAAAGCCACTCACACGGAGACACACACACACACGCGGGAAAAGTCTCCCAGTCACAATAAATGAAAATGCTGTGAATGTTCTCTGTTCGAAAAACTTCCTGTTGAGCTTCATTCAAGACAAATTTGTCAAAATTTCGAGTGAGAGTGCAAAAGTTTTGATACAATCAAACCCCGGTTTGCCTTGCACACATTAAAAAATACACTCTAAATCTGGGCAATAAAGGCTTGATTGGGTATAACTATCAAATTACAGATTTATAGTCATGAAACACTCTAAAATAGATAAACTCGTGGTGTGTAATTTCTGACTTTTGGGCATTTTCTCACTGAAAAAGCTCGAAAGTTTAGCAGCGCAAACATATCAATTTCCGGAATTTCTCATCCAAACGAAAATTAGGCACATATTTTCTCTCCCAAAGTGAACAATGAGAGAAAAACAATGATGCCTCACAGCGTCCGAAGACACAAATGGAATCTGTCTCTTCTCCTCTTGCCTCTCCACACGATGAGAAAGAGACGCGCGATAGTGAGTGGAAAAAAAGAGAGACATTGAGAGGAGGAAGAGATCAAATTGGCGTAGGAGTTTGCTCTTAAGTTGTTTGCTCATCTAATTCATAAATTCATCTTTTCGATTTATACACTCGCACATGGCGAGGCAGAGTGTGAATAGGCATTTTCGATCATCTCGCGAGAGGCGCAGCGCGCAGAGGAGGCGAGGAGAGTGTAATAAATAATAAAATACAAGGTATACAGTATTGATAATCGCACTTTCAATTAGGTTAAAATGCGACAAGTGAATGACCAACTTAATAACTCTCCTCGCAGTTGAATTACGCGACCACGTGTGTAGTTGTGCTATTTGGCCGAGAGACGCATGTGAGAATATGAGTAAATAAGTGAATAAAAACAGTCAATTGACATTGAATATTGAAATAAATATCAGCCAGCCACAATTCCTGTCTTCAGCACTTTTGCTAAATATCTCATCATCTCACTCGCGCGCCTGAGAAAATCCCATCTGGCTGTGCATATTGGGTGAATAAGATATGCAATTTGAGTGTTACCATGTATAAATTGCATCTAACATTATAATAAAACTCGTTTCTATCGTGTAGTAAAACACCTGAAATGGCTCTCTAATGTCGCTTATGGTGTGCTTGTGAGCGTTCAATAAATTACCCATTGACGCTCTCACTGTGGGCAGGATGAGACGATAAATCCCTCAAATTGCTGCACCACAAGGATTATGCAAGTCTTAAGTGCACCATCTTACCCGGGAGTGATCTAATTCTCTCACACTCTTAGTCCACTCGATTTTCACCCGGGATTTAATCCGCCGATCACTGCCCGAATCAATCAATTGCGGAATGCTGTTCACTTTATTAGCTACCATTCTGCCCAAATTGCAGACAATCTTCTCAGTTCAGCGCGCTGTAGATTCGTAGCAGAGTTAGTAAGATCTAGAATCTAGATTGCACGCAAATTTTATTTGCGCTTTTAGTGTTTTGTCCATTCTAAAGCGCTAAAACCTTAAAATATTCGTTAAAAATGGCGCATCTATGAATACTTTTATTGCAAAAAGCGGTCATGAGCAAGGAGATATGGGCCGATTAATGCGTGAAAGCATTAGCCATGACCAAGATGATGGTATTTCCAGAGTCTTAATCTCCTGAGGAAAAGGATCTGTGGCACTGTGAGGGTCACAGCTTGACATTGCAAGCTTCGTAATGGGTTTACGACACGGTTTTGCGCATAGGGTCACTTCAAGGAAGGTCTTATTCTCGAGTCGCGCAACCGTGTTCAGTAGCCAATCGTCAAGTGACTAATTGATCTCAGCTTCTGGCTCACGAGCGGTGAATTCCTGGCACAGCATCCCAATCGCTTATCTGACATTCCAGCAACTCTGGTCGTGCAGAGACAGAATTTCTCGCCGGAGCGTTCCCCGTTCGCCGCTAATCGGTGCGATCTTTCGCGTTCTCGCGGATTGGAAGATCATCAATCTGGCCAGGGCGGCTGAAGGGCTGAATCGCGCAGAGAGTGTCGAATGGATTTCACTTGATTGCTGCTCGAGATGAAGATGCTGGAGCAAAAAAGCGGAGAACAAGGTAAATAATAGTGGCTACCGTGTCACGCGCAATCTTCACAATTGCAGCCGCGCTCAGTGATCATAGGGAACACGCGGTGAGCGAGCGAGACGGCGAGAGGCAATCGCGAAACTCGAAAATTGCACCTTCCTCACCCATGTGAAAAATCGTGAATTTCGTGTTTCCAGACCTTTATTTGCCGAAGCGATCTTCCCTCTATTTGCTTTGGCCAACCTCTCTCCTCGACCTGCGCCGAGACACCGTATTTCCGTGATTTACCTGAAAATGATCTCTTTGCGCGCCGAGGTCACTCATCGCGCTGGATTCCTCACGTTCTGCCGGGGCTCCGTGGTCGGGTGGGAAATTCCATATCGCCAAGTGTCTCATGCGGATGGCGATTGCGATTCCGCTTCTTAATCGATCAGGAGGAGATAAACACATTGCGCAAGACATGCTCGGCGGATGGAGTCAAATGCTAGAAGTCAAGCGTTTGCGTCAAGCCGCGACTTGATATTTAGACACTAATACTGGCGGCCTGGTGATTAATTGCCGTGCGCGATCGGGTGGGGAAGTGCTGGTCCTTGGCGCTGAGTCAGATGGGCGGCAAGTCCTTATCGTGATTGCGAGGGGGAAATGGGTGAACCTTCCTCTTCGCCACCTCGGAAAGCGCGGTGCATATTTTTATGATGGATGGATGACTGTAACCTCCTGTCACGCCACCACTTGAGCTGCATGTGGGCAATTGCCGCGCGCAAGAGTATGGAATCTATTGGGAGGAACAAGGTGCGAGTGTGAGCGAGACGAGTCCATTGCATTCACCTTGAGCCACTTGCATGGTCGCCGTGATCGCGTTCGAAGGCGCCTCTGCACCGGGCAGAAAGGGCAGAGGAGCTCTCCGGCAATTTTCATAATTTCCCTTAATCCGTTGCATGACAAGTCCATAGCCTCATGCCACTGCGCCGTGTCAGCGTGGCCACTAAATGTCAAATAAGAGCAGCGCAAGTAACTGCTACCGATTAATTGACCGCCACTTGTGTGCGTGTGCATCTCATGGCAAATTGCTGGATGAGACGATCAGCCTCACTCTCGTTCGGTCACATGATTGCGCAACGCGAGAGCGCCCGGAACGCCGCGGCAGCTGCAGGAAGTAGGCTAGCAGGGAATAGTTCAGGTAGAATTCAGTGCAGATGCGGACTAAGTACCTCCATTAAGTCGCTGTAATGCCTCTAATATGGCAATCAGGCAATTTTTGAGTTTCACGGAATGATATAAATAAGCGTGATAGATATTTACACGAATGCTGTTTATTTTCTCAGGTTCATTTGCGAATGAAGTAGGTTCACGCATTTCGGATTGCTTTAATTTCTGTATTTCTCTGCAATATGTAAAGAAAGGCACTACAAACATGTCAATTTTCGTGTACAAAGTGACGAAATGCAACTATGATTTGGTACTAACTTTCTCAGATTTTGTCACGTAATTAATTAGTTTTGAGTGAACTTCATGTCGCCATTTCACTCGTATGCGGACACTCTTGTGCGTGGGAGAGAGACAGACTATCTCATACAGCTTTAATCACGAATTCTATGGCGTAAATTCACATTTGGGAGGCTGTTCATTTGCCAGATCGCTCGGAAATTTAATGGCGATGGCACGCCAAGGGAGAGGCGCTATTTGACATTTTGGCGCCAAAGTGGCCCAGCGCTCGCCCTGCTCCGTGGCTAATCATGCGGCACTTGTGGATGATATTATTTGTCACAGAGTGGATGAATAATTTTTTTCACTAATTGAATTAGAGGCAGCATCTCGCCTCATTCACTCGAGTGGATGCTCAAGAGTGTGGCTCGGAATGAAAGGAGTCGCCCACGCGTTTTGTCACCGCGATAGTCACTTGCCTCATTTGCACTGACGCGACCGAGCACAAGAGTGTATTTGTCATGCAATAAACTCCGTGTGTGCACCACGACGTCGATATATATCCAGAATATATCGCCTATATATCCGAATGGTTGGCTTGTCTTTGGGAGAAGAGAGTGAGAATTGGCGGAGAAAAT